ACAAAGGCCAGAGGCTCCTCACTTGGGACAGGCGCAAAAGTGCAGCGGGATTAAACATGTTTTTTGAGATCTCAACCCTCCCCCTATACCTCTAGCCAATGTAGAAAAAACAAACGTACAACAGTACGCACAGTAAAACTCAGTTAAAGAGAAGTCAGAGTCCGATGTCAGAATAGGAATCAAAAGAAAATAAACAAAATGACAATAATACATAAATAACAACAGACTACTAGCAGTTACTGACATGCCAGCTCCAGACCTCAATTAAACTGATTGAAAGATTATGTCTTCATCATACGAATATCAGGCACAATCCCTCCTGTTAGGGGTTTAGAATTATACCATCACAAAATATATGAGAAGAACATAACCCGTGTCATGCCAACAACTGGTTTTAGAATAAATATGTTTAATTCCGATGCAAAGACCCTATAAGTGAATCAATATTAAAGCCAAAATATGCAATCTTCAATGACCTGACAACAGTATCGTAACTATATCCCTTCTTAATAAGTCTATTTAAAGGTTTTGTTAGCTTTTGAGGTGAATACTGACATTTTTGTGCTTTGTAAAGAATATTACCATAAAAGATTGGATGTGAAATACCCGAACGTTTAAGATGTCTGCATGTTGAGTTATATTTACGAATGATGTCCTTATACCGATGATAAAATTTAGTAAATGTTTTGACTAGTTTATGATATCGAAAACCCTGGTGTAATAATTTTTCAGTAATACATAAATTTCTCTCGCTAAAATCTAATACGTTGTTACATACACGAGCGAATCGTACAAGTTGAGATATATAAACACCATACGATGGTGACAAGGGAACGTCACCATCTAAAAATGGATAATTAACGATAGGAAATGAAAAATCATCTCTTTTATCATAATTTTTTGTATTAAGCTTCCCGTTAATGATATAGATATCAAGATCGAGGAAAGGACAGTGGTCATTGTTAGTATTTGCTTTATTCAAAGTAAGTTCAACAGGATAAATTTCTTTAGTATACATACTGAAGTCGTCATTATTGAGAGCCAATATATCATCCAAATATCTAAAAGTATTGTTAAATTTTTGTATCAGATGTTGTTTCGATGGGTCTTTGCTGATTTTAGTCCTAAATTGTAACTCATAACAATACAAAAACAGGTTCGCAATAAGTGGTGCAAGTTAGTCCCAATTGGAATTCTGATAACTTGACGATATACGGAATCTCAAAAGCAAACAAAAATGTTATCAAGTAAAAATTCAAGGGCAGATATAGTATCAAGGCATGTACATGTATTTCACTTACCTTACGTTTTAATTGATCAGGATATTATTTAATAATTACAATCTGTGAAATAATGTCTGGTTTTGATACATATTTTTCATGATAATGGTTTTCCTTTTTATATTGTGATTATGAAATAGAAAATTTTTGTTTCAAACAGATGATATTTTACTATAAATTCATTTCCGAATACTATTTTACAATTAACACCTGTGATGTTATTTCCGATTACAATACATTTGTTTTGATTTTATAACCCTATGCATGACAAGGCAAAGAAGTTCACGAAACTCTACACAGAAAGCTGAAAACTGTGCATCACGAACCCGACCACAAACAAGGGATTTCGCAGGTGATCCGGAAGGGTGAGCAGATTCTGTTTCACTAGTGGCACCGTTGTGTTACTCGCAGTGAATACAAATTTAGTGATGATTCTCATTTAAAATGTCACAGTCGAGGAAAAGAGGACGGGATGGTGTTTGTGACAATTGGAACATATCCATTGGCATCTGTGACACAGATATTCAATAATCATCACGGGATCACGTGTGTAAAAGTTTCGAAGGGATAGTTTCAATTTTACCACATAGAACCCTCAAGATCAATAGCTTCCTTATAATCTGCAGCAAACTAATGTCAAGGAAATCATGACAGGAAACGCAAGTTCTGGATTTTGTATCAACTGGGAGATATATACTCCATATGCAGACGCTGCTAGAATGTTGCTACATAGAAATGAAAATGTCACAATTTGAAAGCTTAAATCTTCCCTTTTGACATAAGGTTTTGTTCTCAACCGACCATCATTGTTAATTTCTAGATGTAAGTCAAGATATGAGGTAGACTTAACTGTATATGTGGTATCCTTTATATCCAAAGTTCTATTGGACAGGTGCATTTAAGAAAGTTATCTAAATAAACTCATTATTGAGATTAAATATTCTTACGCGAGTCGTGCGTTTCGTCTACAAAAGACTCATCAGTGACACTAGAATTAAAAAGTTCAAAAGGCCAAATAATGTAAAAAGTTGAAGAGCATTGCGACCCAAAATTCTGAAAGGTTTTGTCAAAAATACAGCTACTGTAATCTGTTCCTGGTGTAGAAAATTCTTAGAATTTCGAAAAATTCAAGTTTTGCAACACTTTAATTTATGAATATGACCATACCAATGGTAATCATGTCAACACAAAAGTAATGACCACTGAGCTTGTTTTACACTCAGGGAGGAAATTACCATCAACAGTGGCATCTTTGTGTAATATTTAGTGAGAGGACATTATCTATGAGTGAGGAGGAGGTGACACGGGGGATGCTCATTTTCCGATTCCTGCATTTTTTTGTAATTTGTTCCCGCTTCCCACGGACACAAAGACCAGACACCATTTTGTTTTCCGCGGGGACAGAACAAAACATATTTTAAAGCAAAGAAGGAAATTTGTGTTCTAAAAGAAATTTTATTGATGGCCGTTTTTTTATATGGCTATATTTTTCAAGCATTGGTAATGGTTTTAGTACGACTTTCAACGTAAAGTAATACTTCAACCGTCTGACTTACATCATTAATTTTTGTTTTTCGTTGCTTCGAGTCAAGACGCTATCTGCCAATACCTATAATTGTTTGCTTCACGTCTAGACGCTACCTGTCTATATTTATTCTGGACGATTGATTGTTGTTATGTTTCACGTCGAGAAGCTATCTGCACATACCTTTTCTGGACGATTGAATGTTGATTTGCTTCACATCCAGACGCCATCTGTCCATACTTGTTCAGGGCGATTGATTGTTGTTAATCTTAACGTCCATAACCCATCTATACATACCTATTATGGACGATTAATTGGTGTTATGAATCACGTCAAGAAGCTATCTGTCCATATGTATTCAGATTGATTGTTGCTTGTTTCACGTCCAGAAGCTATCTGTTAATATTTATTCTTGGCGATTTATTGTTGGTTGCTTCAGAGAGCGTTGGTTGAGAAGGAAAGAAATTGTTGTTTCTTAAAAATCGTGTGTCGACCTCTTATTCTATATTTAATTTCATTTGTTTTCATGTATGGTAAGGTCGCATTGTCATTTATACTAGACTCAAGCTAACAACCACTCCCTAGCAGCAACCTGCCAGTTTTCATATATACCTATAAACCCAAGTTTCAATAGGCTTCAGACGTGTTTTTAATTATTGTATATACCCATTCTTATATCTTAATCTGTATAGTTCTAACCCAATTTTGACTCATTTTGGCAAATTTTGAGTATTTACTCCAACAATATATAAGAAAGGCATTGTTAACCAAAACCACAGTTTTGTTGAAAGTAAAGCTATATTTTGTCTCAAGGGTAAAAAAAAAAGATCATTCATTTTGGTTAGCATTGCAAAATGTGTCCTTCGATGCAAAATTTTACAATGACATTTTAATTTGCAATTTTGTATCAAAATGCTTTCAACAGCAACATGTAGTACATAACTGCTTTTTGAAGTTATACAAATTTTTAAAGGTAAATGATAAAGACAGTTTAATATTTTATTTCAAGTAGGTTCTGAATACCTTTGGAATATGACCCTATGAGTGAAAAAACAAAAACGGGGAAAATTAGCACTAACCACTTGTAATCCTACACTCTAAATGCATTCAAATCTTTTTTTTATCTTTATCTCATTCATAACTATAACCATTCTGATTGAAACTATAAAGATTTATTATATAGATTTACGATCTAATAGCTAAGCCCGCCCAGCAAATTCCATCAACCTAGATGAAGTAATTGTGTCACTTCCATTTCATGTCCCCATTAGTTCCCTCGGACGGAGAAACTAGTTAATATATCTTAATAGGTCATCGCGCAGTAGAAATACATATTGTTTGTGCTCTCCTTATAGCTGGACGTGGGTTTATTGAGAAACTGAACACGTCTTGACAATAATTTCCATCAACACAATCCTTCTTAAAACAAAAGGATGCCCGGGAAACATGGAATGGCAAAACATTACAATTGATTGTTAAATTATATTCTGTTTATTTACCATCAGTATATAGAGTACCTGTGAGATAGGGTTGAACACCCAATACCCAAAACAGTGCTTTTTTTTTACACATACGAAATGTCCAAGCTTGCTTTATATGATATATATAATGAATTCTATCATAAACAATAATTTTTGAAAGTTTTAATTTACCAACTTTGTTTGCATGGATTCTGGTTCCTTGTCAAACATATTTGTGTGTCTGCTTCTGCTTGTTCAGGAAATTATTCAGGTGAATATTTAAAAGCTATCTTTAAAATAACTAACCAGACTGTAATTAGTTAATTATTGTTTTATTGAATCTAAACGTTACTGTGTAAAATGTCTTTTAAGAACATTTGAAATATTGCACACGTGACAAGTGAGATTTATAGTTTTATTACCACGTATAAAAAGGATAAACATTCAAGAGAACGTTCTACACAAACACAAACAAACAAACAACGTTTAAAAGTACACAGAAAAATGTGTAAAAACGACTTGATATTAAATCCAGGAAGGAATCATTTTATCCAAACATATCAGCACATGTCCCTTTATATATTGCGTTGTTTTCTTCACCTCGAACCTGAATCGATTAAGTTCCGAGACGGTCCGTTTCCCGGGTCGAATCTTAGTCACGTGATAACGATAAGTTTGTGATATATATTTTAATGTTAAATAATTCTATAACTTGTATATATTAATGGACTTTTATGATCATAAGTTCTTGTGTTGATTTGTTGTAATCTAAATCATACGGTTGTATAATTCCATCATCTTCTCTGAGTACAACCTGGTGGCTTTTACCGTCTGGACTAATCTTGACAACAGTGTTCGATTCGTATCCACATACATAAGCATTTCCGTTGCTGTCTACTGTTATACCTTGTGCATTTAGCAAGTCAGAATTTTGAAATCTGTAAATATTACCTCCATTTAGGTCGTATGACAAAACATAGTCATTTGTTTGACTAGTTTGAACTATGTTGCCTTGCGCATCACAGTCGAAATGTTTAGGTGGAACGGACACTGTAACTTTCTTGCACTGCAATATACCACAACTTTCACTACAATCTAAAATGTTGATTGCCTTTTTACTGATACGAAATGCTAATTTATCTCCATTAGAAGCTATGTCTGATGCCTTTTTGTGTTCAAAACATTTACTGAAATGGTATCCTTCCTTTCCACATTTCAACCGTAAAATACCCTCGTCTTTGATAGAAACAAATATAAAAGACTCCGATATTGGCGACTTAGCCATGTCCTGTATTTTTATTGATTCGAATGATTTTAATTGTTTGCCTGACGGTTCACAAATGAAGATTCGTTGATTTTTTGAATCTCCAAGCGCAATTTTGTGCTTTCCGATAAAACAACATAGATCAGGAATAACATAATCTTCCTTTAACATTTTCTTGATTTGTACACTATGTTTTAAATGAATAAACTTCTTTCGTTTAGCGCTAGCGTTGTCTAACATTTCGTCCTGTTCTAAGTTTGTGATATTTTCTAGTGTATGTCCATTTGTAACGCCTTTAGCGGTATATCCATCGGTAACACATTTAGCGCCAATCGTATATGAGGGAATACCAAAAAGATAAATAGTCCAGGTTTATTGTCTGTATCTAACTGAAAGTCTAATGATTCCTTATGGTATAGAATAGTTTCGTTACTATCTGACTGGCAATCAGTATCTAATTTATCATTCAAATCGCGCAAACCTGTTTCAACTCTCGTTTGACTAAATGCGGTATCTCTCATAAGTGAGACCTCCGACTCTGGTATTATATTTGTTGCCAAGTTTTCTTCATTCTGCAGCCTACGATCTTCATGTGCAATCAACCCAACACTGCGAATTTGGTTTGACATTAAAGATGTAGATACATGTGTTGAAGAAATAGTTCCAAGGTCTGTAATCAAATCAAGTAAGTTTGATCGTTGGAAACGAAGCTGAATTCTGTCCTCATCGGTAGGTAGACGAGAAAGAGCATTCATCTTTCTTTGTAATTCGTGTTCCAACGCGACTAGAATTACAAAATGTTGTTTCTTTGTTAAATGGTCTCTGACATTTTTGATATCGTGTTCTATGGATTTTACACTTGATTGGATTTTAAGAAATGTTTCAATATTATCGTCTACTTTTTCTATTCTTTTCGAATGATGATGCGACAAATTTTCTACTAGCCCACTCTGTAATGCATCGATCTTGTTCTTAATTTCTTGACAGAAATGTCCTATCTCATCATGTACTAGTATGCTATTATGTTCAGCTTGCATTAAGTTTTTGTTTTTAGTTTTTTCCTCAATACGTTGATCAAGACTTCCTTTAACTTGTTCTGCTTTGTTCTTGAAGTGTCCAATAAAACTGTCACTATCAGTTTTGTCTTTTATTTCTTCTAATTCACGACATTGCTTGTGGTGTTCTTTCTTGCACAGATTGCAGAGGACAGATTTATGTTCAGAACAATAAAACAGAACAGACTGATTTGAATGCTTACTGCAAGTTACAGGAATATCTAGAATTTGTGCACTGATGATCATTTTGATATAAAGTGGCAGAACATAATGTTCGCTTGTTATTTTCAATTTTTGATGGACAACTGCACATGGTGTGCATAAGTTCTCTACGCATTCGCGACACCAAAATTCAGCAAACTCTGTACATTTATCCCTTACACAAACATCACACAATGGCGTCTCTTCCTTTACTGTAAGAAATAATATCATATAAAGCTTACTAGATTTTTATAGTTTTGTAAGTGTATGTCTAAGGTATAATTTGCATAATTGGATTAAAAATCTGATGGATTGGCTTTTTGTTTTGTTTTGTTCAAATCAAATTAAATCTGTTTATTTCCTGATTAAAGGGCCCTTAAGGGCATTTCAATTACAAATAAGAAAACAAATATATAGACAAACATATGTACATTCATTTTAGACAAAACAGACGTATGCACAGCAATACCCACTATATTTTCGCAATTTAAAAACGAATTACGAAGCTGTCTAATATTTTGCGTCGTTACTTGATTGGTAAGTATTTGTGATCCTAGTTGTTGAAATCATCAGAAATATAAAAAAATACCTAACAAAAGTAAAAAGTGTCGTCATAACTAAACAAGAGTGCACAAGCTGAAATTTCTCGCCTCCTTTACTTATCATGATTAAATTTCATACCATACACCGAAGATAGTAGGCATATTGCTTACAGTATCTGAGAAACATATATAAACTTTGAAAATTGAATATTGACCAATGAACCATCTTAATAAGGTCAAGGTTAGTTGAATCCTTCCAGACAGTATGAACAATTAACAATTATTTAATACACCGAACATAGTTGACCTTCTGCTTATGGTATCTGAGAAACAGACATAACAAGGAAACTTAACATTGACTAATGAACCATTAAAATATGGTCATTTTCAGATAAACCCTGAGAGACAGACATGTTCACCCAACAATCTTTCCATACACGGAATATAGTTCGCTTATTGCTTAAGTATCAGATCACGGACAAGATCATGAAAATTGAACGTTCACCAATGAACTCTTTAATTAGGTCAATGTCAGATGAAATTTGCCAGACAGAGGTGTACACTTTACAATCATTCCAATCACCAAATAAAGCTGATCTGTTGCTTATAGTATCTGAATAAAACAAGATCAAACCACAAAAACATAACATTGTCAATGAACCACGAAAATTATGTCAAGGCCAGATGAAACCTGCAATACACGCAGGACATATACACCTTCAAATCATTCCTTCCACCAAATGTAGCTGACCTATTGCTTATACTTGTTATAGTATCTGAGAAAAAGACCAATTTCAAAACTTAACATTGACCAACGTACCATGCAAATTACCCCTGCCGGACGGACATGTACACCATGCAATCATTCTACACACCAATTATAGTTGACCTATTGCTTATAGTATATGAAATGCGGACTTGACCACGTAAACTTATCCTTGATCACCAAAATTAGATCGAGGTCAGGAGAACCCAGTATGAGGGACTTTTAGACCTCACATACCAAATATAGTTATCTTATTCTAAATTAATGAGTATCTCACATGACAAAAAAATTGTTTTTCTCCAAGCAGTCGATGAATCACAAAAATGAGACCAATGACATATGACAGACAGAAACTTCTGCAATAAAAAGCTTTATACAAATAGTTTACGCCATTGCTGCCGTCGGACTGTAATCTCTGTGTCTCGCAATATTCGACTTTGGTCATAGGCAAAGCAATGTCTCTTATTGACTTTTTTACAATGACAACAAAATGTGTAATTTCTGGTACATAATTATTTTTAAATTCTTAATAAACATTATAATAATATGAAAATGTTTTATTTCCTCTTGGAGAAAAGGTGACTGTCTTTAAAATGTTTAAGAGAGCAATCATGGCTCGCAAAATAGTGTCAACTTATAAATGTACTAGATAAAAATTATTAACCAAATGACATATCATGTATATAGCTAAGTGAAACGACACTAATTATTTGATATTGATTGTAAAGTCAGCTTAAATCTGCAGTACACGTATACTTTTATCACCAAGATAAGCCTTGTGATATTGAGACTTTGAAATGTTTAATTGTTTTGTTTGTAAAATGTAGTTGATGTTTCACACAAAAATAGTTCATTGTATCTAACATGTCTAAATATAAATCAGGAAATGAAAAAACTTTCGAAAAAAATTGTTCTGAAAGGTTTCTATACACGTACAAGTTAATCGCTTTTCTGCAGCTCATATAAAGGTCGTGCTTAGCCAGGCATTCATTTAGAGAATTACCAATATCGATAAACGGATTAAAAACCTACATGTGTAGATCGATAAATGAAAAAAAACCTACATATATAACATTGTATAAGCAACAGATTAATCCGTCAATAGTCATTAAGAACATTTTATGAGACTATTCAAAACAATGGAATTAGAATTTCCTGTATTCAAAAAATGAATAACAAAAAAACTCACTTAAACTTTCCTCCATGTCTTCTCTTGATTCTTATTAAAATTAACATATTTTCAGAAAATAAAGTGACCTATATACATGATACAAGATTTAAATAACAACGTACTCGAGTCAATTTATTTATAGTAACAAATATGAATATGTATATGATCACTATTATTCTATAAATGTGAACATGGTGAAATATGTATATTATCATGTTTAACCCTACCAAACACTTTTAGTGTCTGTCCAAAGTCAGGAGCTTATGATTCTGTGGTTGAATTGACGGTGGTTGAAGTCTGACATATTAGTTTTCTGTAAATTGAATCAGTTCGATTTTGTCGTTTGAATTGGTCACATTTTCTTGTTGAGGCCTTTTTACAGCTGACTATATGCTATGAGTTTTTCCAGTGTTGAAGGCTGTATGAAGACCTATAATTGCTTACTACCACATCATTTGATTGATAGTTGTCTAAATGTCAATCATAGATGTACAAAATCTGTATAAAATAATTCAGTAAAGAACGGTGACCTTCAGTAGCTTTAATCCACTTCATTTGGATTTTATTGGCTAGTTGTCTCACTGGCAATTACATCGCATCTCCTTAATTTGTTATAAATCTATACAACTTTGATAAAACACATGTTTATTGATTCACTTAGAAAATTGATGGCTTTTAATAAATAATCGTACATTGATAAATCAAACTTTATAAAGTAACGTGATTTAGGTTAATCAATATAAAACGTCCTAATTATTTGTTTTTCTATGTAGATATTATTCTTAAAATCTATTATCTTCAAGTAAGTTTTCAATTGATGTTAGAAAATATAACAAGGGTGTAGGTTTTTTTTGGGGGAGAAGGGGGGTCAGAATGATCTGCTCAATGTGGAGACAAAACAGAATCCTTTGCGTCATCTAGAACGCTGAGAGCAAAATTAATGTCTTTTAAAGTTGAACTCTAGATCACATTGCAGCTGTAACACTCATGACCGTATGTTTGGAAAGTTACAGAGTTAAAAAAAAAGAAAACAGCTAGAACCCCCATAAGCGTAGATGCCAGGATAGTTAAAAGTTTATAACACTTGTCACTTAATCAGTTAAAAGTTTAGAAAGAAGTATATGTACGTAGCATGACATATATAAGAGGGTCCGTATGAGATTAAAAGAAAATGACAATGGACAACAAACTACACAATTAAGGGCCAAAACATGAAGAAAAGAGAAAAACGGGGCGCTTAAATATAATGATTAACCGTTCTTTTAGTTGTGTCTGCTTATTTACATTCCTTTTAACTTCTGTTTTCCCAGGCTAGTGCATATGTTAAGGAATTAAACTTACCAGACGGATTGATAAATTTCAACTTCTGGGTGAGTTTTCCACATGGACTATTTAAAAGAAATCGTGAAGTAGCCCTTTATTTACTAAATCGACCTTTTCAAACAGATGTAAATGGTTTGCAATTATGTCTCAACATAAAATTGCGATATTAAACGAGCGTTATATCGTTTCACTTGGATTTAGATACTTTCCACAAAAGAAATTACTTTTGGTTTACGGACTGATGATTTTTTTCGTTTCACGGACTGATAATTTATGTCAATTGGTATATTTTTGAAATGCCTTCAGTACTACATCTATAACAGTAGATATACATTGCGAATTGCGTCAATACATTTTTATAAAATGATGACAACACGAGTTTTCTCAAAATAAACGCATTCAAGTTTACAAATACAAAACTCCTCAAAGATATCAGGTGCTTGAAGTATAATTTCTTTTATTTAAGGTAGCACAATACAAAGATTTTATACCTCCTATTCCCCAGTTTTAAAATGCTGTAACTTTCTGTATAATGCTTGAAAATTTATAAAATTGGTATCTATGGATAGCTAACAGATAACTCTTTCAAATCAATGCAATGTTAGTATTATACAACAATTATGTAATTAATTATAATGTTAACTGTGTCTACAAAATTTTACAAGAAATTTCCACTTTCAATTGAAATTAGCTTCTTTATGGTTATCTCGAGAGGGTTGAATTTATTATATGTTGTTCCTAGAGCCATTATCTACAAAAGGGTGTCTCAGATTTTGGATAGAATGTATAGATCAAATTTTACACCTAATCAAATATTATCTACTTTTATGTGGTAAGGATGTTTACACTAATTAGAGATTTATGAGAGAATGGAATATGATAGCGATAATTTGAGACACCCTTTTGTAGCTCCTGCTGTGTTGATTAAGATTTCGTTTAAATTTCCTGTATAGTTATAGAGATGAAAGAGCTAAATTCATTCAAGTGAACTGACCAAGATTTTGCCATTAATTGCATAATAATTGATTACATAATGATTGCATAACAAAAATATTGCCTTCATTTAAAAGAATAATCTTTTATCTATCTATATATACCTCTTTTATTAATTTTTATGCAGTCTTAAGAAAGTAACAGCATTTTAAAGGTTGGAGATTGGAAGTAAAAAAATCTTTGTATTGTGCTACCTTAAACGATCACATGAATCACAAAGAAACTCACCTCAACTTTCATCCATGTCTTCTCCTGATTCTTTTTTACATATTTTCAGAAAATAAAGTGACCTAAATATATGATACTGTAGTAATAATAAAATGCTTTATTTCCTCTTAGAGAAGAGGTGACTGTATTTAAGAGGGGAATCATGGCTCGCAAGATGGTAACTAATAAATGTATTAGATCAAAATTATTAACCAAATTACATATCATGTATATGGCAGACTGAAACTAAAAAATTATTTAATATTGTTTGTAAAGTCAGCTTAAATCTACAATACACGTTTACTTTTATCCTAAGATAAGCCTCTTGAAAGTGTTACCTTTAAATGTATAATTGTTTTGTATTGTAAAATGTAGTTGATTTTTTTTATACAAAAATAGTTCATTGTATCTAAATATAAATCAGAAAATGAAAAAAAATTTCGACAAAAAAAGTTCTGAAAGAATACATGTATATGTTGATCGCTTTTTGCAGGTCATATAAAGGTCGTGCATAGCCAGGCATTCATTTCGAGAATTATCCATATTGAGAACACAATTAAAATCCTACATTTGGAGATCGATTAATGAAAGAAAAATCCTACATATATAACATTGTATAAGCAACAGATTAATCCGTCTGTATTCATTAAGATCAATTTATGAGACTATTCAAAGTGCTGGAGTTATAAATTCCTGTATTCAAACGATAAGATGAATCACAAAGAAACCTACCTTTGTCCTTCATGCTTTTCTTGATTCTTATTAATATTAACATATTTTCATAGAGTAAAATAACCTATATGTATATGATCACTATCATACTATAAATTTGAACATAGTGAAATATATATATTAACATTTTTAACCATACCAAACGCTTTAAGTGCCTGTCCAAAGTCAGGTGCTTCGGATTCTGCGGTTGAATTGTCGGTGGTTCAAGTTCGACATATTAGTTTTCTGTAAATTGAATCAGTTCGATTTTTTTGTTTGAATTGGTCACATTTTCTTGTTAGAGCCGTTTTATAGATGACTATATGCAATGATTTTTTCCATTGTTGAAGGCTTTATGATGATCTATGGAAAAAAAGGGGGGGTCAGGATTATCTACTCAATGTTTTAGACAAAACAGAATCCTTCGCGTCATCTAGAAAGCTCAGAGCAAAATTAATGTTTTTTAAAGTTGAACTTCAGATCACATTGCTGCTGTAACGTTAATGACATTATGTTTGGAAAGTTACATTTTAAAAAAAACAAAAAAGCTAGAACCACATAAGAGTAAATGCTAGGATAGTTCAATGTTTTCAACACTTGTTACTTAATCAGTTAAAAGTTTGGAAAGAAGTATATGTACGTAACATGACACATATAAGAGTGTCTGGATGAGGTTTACAGAAAAGAATAATGGACAACAAACTACACAATAAGGGGCCAAAAGATAAAGAATAGAGACAAATGGGAGCTTAAATATGAAGATTAGAGAATAAAGGGCACGAATATTAAAGAATAGAGATAATGTCAACTATCTGAGCACAAACTACTGGGCAAGACTAGAACTAATGGACGGATGATGTATCTGCAGACATGAAGTCTATTAGCAAATCACTGACCAGAAGTTGGTTGATGTCATTGGTGACTTGAAATCCACTAGCGAAGTACCAACTGCTGGACAAATGATGTTCCTGTTGACTGGAACGAAAATAAAATCATCAGTCTGTGAACTAAATGCAATTTCTTTTGTGGAAAGTATCTAAATCCAAGTGAAACGATATAAAGCCCGTTTAATATCGAAATTTGATGTTGAGACATAATTGCAAACCACTTACTTCTGTTTCAAAAGGTCGAATTGGTTAAAAGTAAGGGCTACTTTACTATTTCTTTTAAATAGTCTATGTGTAAAACTCCCCCAGAAGTTGAAATTTATCAGTACTGATCAGTTGAAACCTACCCATCTGGTAAGTTTAGTTCCTAAACATATACACTAGCCTGGGAAAACAAAAAGCACATGGAATGAAAATTAGCGGACACAATTTTAAGTACGGTTGACAAAAATATGCAAACATTTGACCTTAAATGATATTATCAGTTACAAAACCTTATTTTAAGCTATGAACAGGTTTTTGGTGACTTGTTAATGATATAACAAGCTCCATGCAAAATGTAATTTATTATCTCAAAATAAAATGTATTGAAAAAAGCTATATGATTAATTAGTAGTAAAAATGTAACTTGTGGCCCCTTTTTAATACTAAAAATGTAACTTATGGCCCCTTACATCCTCTGAAACTAGTAGGAGCTATAAATCATCAGTTAATTTAATAGACCACGTTGTCCCGTTTGGCTTGAAACCTGAAAACCATTCATTAACAGGAAATTAAACCAAGAATGTTTTTTTTAAAGAAACCTCAAAGGAATAGAACAAATTATAACGTGGATAACAAAATTCTAGGGATTGTCCTTGACCATACTGCATTAATTATTTAATAGTATTCGAGGTACAGAGTTTTATATATAATAAAAACATAATATTATGAATAAAAATCTAATGGAAAGAAATGATGTCTATTAGAGATAGCAAAACAATGTTTCTGCCCATAATAGCAAGGGTAATCTGCCGTATGTACTGTCTAAAAAACATTTGTTGACACAAAAACCTTTATGATTCAATAAATAACTGTACAAATACAATTGATAGCCCTTATATCCTTTACAAATAGGAGGACCTATCTATCATAATTCCAATTGAAAAAAGTCAAAGGTTAATCAAAGAAAAACAACGATCTTTCTGCCCATATCACTTCATCAAAATAGCAGTAGTGACCTGGGTGTTTATCCCACACATGCCTGCATTTCGTTTAATCCTGAAATATCCTTTTTCGCCCCATGATGGACCCCATGAGTTCTTCACTTTCCAATAAAGCTTTTCTCCAAACAGTGTTTTTTCTTTGCCAAAACCGACTAACAACACAGCTGAAAATAAAAATTACAACCAAATTATCAATATCTATTATATAAGACCAGAAAGGCAATATTGGTAAAGGTATGTTATATTTTTGTATTCAAGTGATTCATACAGAGTGTTTTCAAGTGAGAATATAATTACTCTAATGCAGGTCGACCCTTGTTTAAACGAAAGAGAAAGAGGTTACTAAGGACCATTTTTTCCTAACTTTATTTCAAACCAGGGCCATTTCCAAAAGGTGTTTCAATATTTACTTAAATTCGTAGTAAAACACCTTTTTTGGAGTTCTTTGAGGTTCTTAAAATATCTTGAGATATCACCAAATCGTAAACGCCTGAAGATAGTCTGAAACTGCAATTTGACAGATTTTGGTACATTTTTAGTGCTTATCCAAAATTAATATATGAAGGAGACCCATTCATATTAGCAAAATTTTATTGGAGATAAAGTTATTTTATATGTAACAAATGTTCAAAACTGGATATTATTGAAAATAAGTTAATAGATAAAGTTAAAAAGGAACCAAAATCATGTAAATTTTTCTATAAATTATTTTTGGAGGATAATAAAGTGGTATCTTTAACTTCCCGTAATAAATGGGAAATAGATTTAAATATGCAGATTGAAGATTGGAATGCTATTTATTCCATGCCCTTCATTATAACCAGAAATTCTATTTTACAAAACTTTCAATTTAAGATTGTTCATAGGATTCTACCATGTAATTCATTTTTATTGAAATGTAAATTAAAAGAAACTGAACTATGTACATTTTGTTCAGAAATTAAGGAAAATATTTTTCACATTTTTTGGGAATGTAATGTAACACAAAACTTCTGGCTATCAATAATAGGTTGGATTAAAAATTATGGCTTTCTCCTGCCTTTCAGTGCAAAAGAAGTCATTTTAGGTGTGTCTGAGGATTTCGTCAACAGTAAAACAGTTAATAATATTTTGTTGTTATTCAAATATTATATATACAAATGTAGATGTAAGAACATATCCCCCACAAAATATGGTGGGATAGAATATTTAAAATATTGGATTAATATAGAAAAATACTCTGTATGTTTCTTAATCCCTGTACAAAAAGTAAAAATGGATCAGAAATGGTATTTGTTAGAAGCAGCTTTTATTTAATTAATTAACAAAATCAATTGTAATATTTATATTTATATTTATATCTTATTATATCTTTATGAGTTGGTTGATCATTCAAGTATTGCTTCATTTTTTATAATGTGTATCTAATACTGTAGTATGTAATTTCACATGTTTCATCATGAAAAATACAAAAAATACAAAAAAAAAGTTATATTATATGGTCGTTCGGTTACAAATTAATTCAATCTGGTTAGAGTAGTATTTCGACACAAAAATTGTACAAAAAACATGTAATTTTAAATTGAAATACCTTGATCAGCAACATGAATCGCTGAATTACTTTTTTGGGGAGAAAATATGTTAATTTGTAGAAAAGTGTTTGATATAGACTCTCTTATATTCAAATTCTATTAGGATTAGACATTTTAACGATTTTGACCATGTGAGTGAAACATATACTGGGAAAATTTGCCTTACTTCTTTGTCAGCTTAGAATTTAGAAAAAAGTAGCAAAAATATCGAATTCCAAGATAAATGCAAATCAAAATCCGACAAAATCAAACATTAGACTAAATCAATGAAATACAACTGTCATATTGCTGACTTGGTACAGGAATTTACCGGGGAAAAAAATAGTGGTGGGTTAAACCTGGTTTTATAGCTAGCTAAACTTCCAACAGTTGTAATTGACAGTTGTTTATAGTTCCGTTATATTGACAAAAGTGGGTGAGCGTCCAAGTTGCAAACAAACAGAATTTGTTAATGTGACTATAACTGAGATCAAGCAGCCAAAACTGTAAACATACATCACATTCAGACATAAAACGCAATAGAAATGTTCGTGAAGTATGCTGTTGTATCTTCACATTGATTGATATCTAAAGAAAAACTGTATTTTTTTACAATAATTTCTTTTGATGTGGAAAATATGTAGTTTTATTGACTGTTTATTGACAGCCGAAAAGCATAACAGTTTTTCCAAAGTCAATTGAAATGTAAATGTTAACCGAAACAAAAGATAGTCCTTTTTTCAAGTCTACCAAATTAGACTTATAACCGGGAAAGTAATACAGGAGCAACACGACGGGCGCCACATGTGGAACAGAATCTGCTTACCCTTTCGGAGCACCTGAGATCATCCCCGGTTTTTGGTTGGGTTCATGTTGCTAATTCTTTATTGTGTGTTTTGTGTACTGTTGTCTTTTACTCGTTTTTTGGGTTTTTTTTCCATGTCAGTCTGTTTTGAACTTATGAGTTTGAATATCCCTTTGGGGTCTTTAGACTTTTGTTTCCATATTCCGAAAGACAAAATGTATTAAATAACATTATTTTACAGTAACCTATTGTACATTAACCATTTAACCACAATTTTATTTGAAAAAGTATGTGACGTTTAGCGCGATGAATATCACTTTTCTTTAGGTGAATTCCAGCTTTATTCAAAATCAAATGTATATAAGAAAACCTACTAAAATAATATCAAAATGTCAAAATGGACTAAACTATTTTACTGCTTTTGATACGTATTTCTAAAAGCAGTGAAACATACCAACCTGTAAATCGTTGATGAACAAGTAAGAAAACTTTTCTGTTCATCATTAAAACAATAATCTTACCATGATTAATACTCTTTGGGTTACATAAGTAAGGTGAAAATACTCCACTACGATAAAACATTAACCAATCAGCATTCATTGCAATGGATAGTGGTCCAATTTTCATTAACTGCTCAGCAATATTTGTCTCATTCTAAATTTAAAAATTTAAAACAAAGGTAAATTTTTAATCTACCATAAATCCAGTTTTGTTTGTAGATCGAAACACACAAATTTTAACACAGCCTAAGAATCCATTTAATCGACACACCGACAAAATTATTATGAAACAAGTTTTAGAGTATATCAATATGGAAATGGTACAAAATGATCAACATAGTTTTACGTTAATTTAATCTGATACTTGCTTTTAGTGAAATCCCAATCTGATTAAAATACAAATCCTGTGTCGACGCTTCGCTGCAAGTATCTGACAACACTCCATTATACTTTCTGTTCTGGTAAGTATTATATCAGCAAATGAAATTTCAGCCTTCAAACTTTTGAAGGTGTGTCATGTGTGTATCATTACGACACATCCAGAGGATCCCGAAAGGTATTTATAACAGAATGTCTAATGAATTGTTTTCAGATCCTTGTAATCATAGCTGGACACAGGAGAACTGTATTTTAATAAGATTGGTGAAAACCTGATTTCTAAGTAAATGGTTTGATTCAACTAGAATACCTTATCAATGGCTTTCCAATTGGCTATTTTCAAACCCTTTACAAATTTGGCTTTATCAAGTTTCGCCACACAGCTTTGAGACATGTTACAATAAGGAACTGCTGGACCACACAATGAACTATTAAAGCCTGGTGGAGGACATGGTAAACAATTGTTTTCTTGGTGTTTTGTGTCTGTATCACCACTACAGTATTTATAGTCACCTGACGACTCTAAACCTCCCTACAAAAAAAATTACAAATCCATTAAGACTTCTAACATTTCACATGTTACTAATACTGTTTATGTGTTGTACCAACAAAACAGTAGCTTTATTAACAGTAGTATTGCAAAATAATACATATAAACACTACACTTCCAGTCCTGTTTAAAATAGACCTCATTTGTTTTAATTTCAAATTGTTTGTTATATAAAGATAATATTTCATGCATAGAAAGATAACCTTCTTTTCATATTTATTTCCCAATTGGTTTTATAACCAATTTTTGACAATTTAAGTGAACCGAGTACTTTCACCTCAAACTCAAACAGAAAAAGAGAATTTCGTTCAATCTACTTAGGGGTAAGTTTATTTGAAATGTGTCATATCGGTGAGTTTGAAGTTTTACAGGAGTACCAAAAGGGGTTTTAATTCATGCATAAAGATAGTGACATGATTTGACATAAATCTAAACAGGTTAAATATTTTTTAAATGCTTGATTTTACAATGGATATTATCATGATTATAGGAGAAACGTTTTGGGGTACGCCTTAACAAGAAAGAACAGTAAATCGAGGTGACCTCCGAAGAATGCCGACGTCATATAACCCGATATAAACATAAATAGATATAAATAGAAAGCGAACATGTGCAATCGGATTTTTCTAGGTCTGTTTGATTTTACATTATAGGTAAAAAAAATACGTTAATCATCATTTTTACATGTATAAGAGTGAGTTTTTGTGGATCGGATCAGTCAACCAAATAGTTGACCTTTGTTTCACTTTCAATGTTGATATTCTCTTCCTTGTAATAGCTGAACACGCCTTATTTATGCGTGACCTATCTTTAACTAAGGGGCTAAATTGAAGGTCACACGAATACGGATTCAATTAGGTCGAATTATTCACTTGCTAGTAAATAATTCATCAGCAATATATTTCTTAGCTTATTTAGACAAAATTAAACCAAAGTTGTTGCTAAAAGCGAATTATTATTTCACTCTTACATTAATGATTGGGCCAATAAAAAATCATATTTTACTTTTTTAAATAACTCGTAGCTAATGCCCCTTTAAGCTCAACTGGCAATTTGAAATGCGAGAAGTCACATGAGGACTTTTGAAAGCAACACAATCACATTTTGCAAGACTCCACCTTAAACAACATTTTTGCTATTTTTCAGGCTAACAATAAACATGCACATAGGAAAACGCCTGACATTGTAATCAATAGATAGTTAGTAGTTTCTCTGGTATAAAAAAGTGAAACATATGTAAGTCCGAGTTGCAATATTAATGGTTTGTAATTTGAAAGGTTATATAATGGAAGAGATACTAGAACTTGGTTTATTTGAGTAAGTATCTATTTAATCGCAAGTGTTCAAGGAAGATATATGTAAATGATGCTTTCTACAAATAAAAACAAGGAGCACACGTTACCGTGCTGAGCATACTCCCAATCGTAATTTATTGGTACGTAAGACGGAAAATAGGTGTCTGACAAATACGAACACAGATGACAATCACTGTCGTGTGCTGACCAAATATGAAGTCATTCTGTTGATAATGGTTTGAACTCATATGAAATACATACTGCTTTTGTTATATATTGGTATGCAAGGTAAGGCCATCCACCAAAGACTCCACAATCAGCATTCTTTCTACAACAAAAACGGATTGAATAAGTAACAAGGGCCCTGATGGCATTTTGGTGTAGGAATTTTGTTGACATTATCTTAAAGATCACTTAAACATAGCCATAGGATATCATTACAGCAATACGTCATAGTACCTGTAACAGTTTCATAACCCTATAATTTGCAAAACAGATCGATTGATATGTTTTATAGTTATTTTTGGTGTCTTAAACTGTTATATAGCTATGTTGTTTGGTAAAACTCCAGATAATTAACATAATCTATTAAACACTATGGAAATAATCTATCTATTTATATGAGTGTATCTGGAGCTACTACGATTTTAATACTGTTGGATCTCTTCTTTTTTTTTTCTCTCTCGAAAAACGAGATTGGCAATCAAGGTACATGGTAGTTCATATTGAAGTTATAAATTACATTTCTATGATGTGTATATCTATATCCTTTTCAATAATACTTTCTTCATGATCATTATATTCATTTGCTTTCTGTTTTATACATTTATAAAATCTGAATTGATCACTGTACATAGAGGATCGAGTTTCAAGAAACAACAAAACCATAAGCCCATGATATAATTCTTTACAATAAACAATATTTATCATAATATAAATGTCTGTAGACAAGAATTTTATTGTTTCCCTTAAAAAGAAATCTTTAATCTTTTGAGTTTGTCACATAAATCTAAAAAATTTGGTAAGGAGGGATACAACATAATAAAAACAAGAAAATATTAATTTCTACATTCGAAATTTACAAAATATGAAAAAATTGACTCCAAAGATTCCAATGAACACGCTCAATCCTAAGAAACTGTGAATATAAATCAAACTATGAAAAACAAGAATGTGTCCATAGTACACGGATGCCCCACTCGCACTATCATTTTCTATGTTCAGTGGACCGTGAAATTGGGGTCAAAACTCTAATTTGGCATTAAAATTAGAAAGATCATATCATAGGAAACATGTGTACTAAGTTTCAAGTTGATTGGACTTCAACTTCATCAAAAACTACCTTGACCAAAAACTTTAACCTGAAGCAGGACAGATGGACGAACGGACGGACGAACGAACGAACGAACGGACGCACAGACAGAAAAACATAATGCCCTTCTACTATCGTAGGTGGGGCATAAAAATTAGTATGTGAAACGTGTTTTGTTTACATAAGACTCATCAGTTAATCAATAACAATTGAAAGGCTTAACTAATTTCAATGTTGAAGAGCAATTGAAAATCTAAATTCAACCAATTGTTTCAAATCCGGCTATATATAAGGCCATCTATGCCTGTGGTAGTATTTCAAATTAATAAAAATCTTATGAACAGTAATTTTTTTAAAGAAAATGGCCACATCAAATATATCTATGTCAAAATATAAGTGCTGACCACTAGGCGAAACCCTCAGGGAGGAAACCTTAAGCAGCAGATAAAGTATATTAACATATAGTTGTTTCCCTTTTAAATCATCATTATAAAGGGCGCAGCTCTTATTTTGATATGAACCAATTACTTCTATAAAAAGTTCCTTAATTTACCTGGGAACATCTTCAAATCCGTCGCAATCAACCACTTGCTCAACGGACAAATTCAATAGCGGCTGTCCTGACAAAGCCCACTGTCCCTCTATGTTTTCAATCGTGCTATAATTGAAGTTGAAACATATCAATACAATAAATACTGAAAGTTGTAATTACTTTTATCCACTATATTTTTACTAAACATATGTCTAACTAGAGCTTTGCAAATGTTAATAATTATATATCTTGTGCACTTCTCATAGATCAAAATTGAAAAACAAACATTTTGTTTGAAAGAATACATTTTAAAATATTAATGCTACTTTGGAACATAGAGTAATATGAAAACTTACCTAAATGCCCAACATGATCCAGCTGCCCCTAAAATATATAACGAAATATTTTCACTTTCACAATTTTCTTCTATTAAAAATTTGTGTATGGTAGATCTTTTTGTATTTTTTGTTTGTAATTTTAAAATCGTACTGCATTATAGTTTGACATTTGTTCTATAAAAGAAGACTGTATATCGCCCTTAAAATATCTTTTCTGTTCGTATTACTACATGTATCATGTTTCAAATGTATTTTTTCACTTAACTACCTCCGTCCAGTAGTTTAGTACTTTGGCTATTGCATTAACATACGGATTTTATTTTTTTTATGAAATTTACAGTGATAAAAGCATGAACTCGTTTGATTTGAAATCAAGGAATATATTTCTCCAGTGCATAGCTGTTATTCATCGTCAGAGTTTGGCTATAAGTTTTATACTTTTGTTGGTACTACGATCTCATCAATGTTTGTGTTAGGTTTAGATTTTCAAATATTTTGCATTACTGGGGAGACATTTTTTGAAATACGCATCTAGTGCAGCACAATTGAGACCTTTTTATGTTCATATTACGTATACATCCATCTTTTGATAAACAACACACATATTTTTTGACATTTTACCTATTATGTCTGTTTGTTTTGCTCACACATTGTTGTCAATATAATGAAATTGTATGCGACTGTCATACAAGTGAGAGGTTTAGCTAGCTATAAAACCAGGTTTAATCCACCATTTTCTACATAAGGAAATGCCTTACCAAGTCAGGAATATGACAGTTGTTTTCCATTCGTTTGATGTGTTTGAGCATTTGATTTTGCCATTTGTTAATGGGCGTTTTGAATTTTTCTTGGAGTTCGGTGTTATTTTACTATTTAATTCAAATCACGGTGAAGGAATGATATAAATTTTCCAGTAAAAAAATGTAACTCTCACATTATAAGGCTGAAATCAAGAAAAGAAACCTAAATGACATTATATCTATATACAGTGAATTAAAGCCCAAAATAGCCATTTGCTCTGCTAGTCACAAATAAAAAGATGTGTATACAAACCAAAACACTGGGTGACTAGTAACATTGTCATTTTTCTACCATAAGCAATATGGCGGGTGTCAATAGTGCAGCAGGAACTGCTTACCCTTTGGGTGTCCCCGATGTCAACCCCAGTGTTTGTTGAGGTTCGTGTGGATCAGTTTTTATTTTTCTATGAAGTATTTTGTTTATTTGTTTATCTTCACGTCGTCTTTCATTTTTGTCATGGGGCCAGTTTCCTTTCAACTAATGAGTTTAAATGGACATTATCCTTCTAAAAAAAGCTATATTCTACAGTATGATTGTTCAAGTGGTCTGAGGCGCTGGGCACAAAGAATGGGGTGGAGCATTAATATCTCCACAGCTTGGGGTTTAATTCCCTGAGGACAACACATAAATTCACCAGTGCAAAATTTTAGGTCGGGTCCAGGTATGGGCGTAATGGGCGTACGCCCCCCCCTCCCTTTAAAAAAAACAAAAAACAGCGTTATCTGCTTAAATTGTATTGAATATGGCAATTTATCATATTCATTAATTAAACACACTCTCTGATTTCTTTTTATACTGATTCACACATCCGATTGGTGACTTGGACACCCCCATCCGATGGGTGACTTGGACACCTTTTTTAAACAACCAAAGCGGTAAGTAAATCTATACATGAAATGGTTGTTTTGTGTGACACTTCCCCAATGGCCATTCTACATCTACCCGGGGGATACTCGCTATATATATGATACCGGGTATGTTCCGACAAACGGGGTTGCATTTTCAGCTAAATTGTTTGAAATTGGGTTATGTTTTTTTCGCCTTGCATTGGAAGGGGTCAGATTTGACTATCTAGAACGGGGTATTATAAATACAATGTTACACTATTGTTTCAGATAAGGGTGAATGTTTGGTACCATTAAAACGTTTAAACCCGCTGCAACTGTTTGCACCTGTCCTAAGTCAGGAATCTGATGTTCAGTAGTTGTCGTTTGTTGATGTGGTTCATAAGTGTTTCTCGTTTCTTATATAGATTAGTCCGTTGGTTTTCCCGTTTGAATGGTTTTACACTAGTAATTTTTGGGGTCCTTTATAGCTTGCTGTTCGGTGTGAGCCAAGGCTCCGTGTTGAAGACCGTACTTTGACCTATACTGGTTTACTTTATAAATTGTGACTTGGATGGAGAGTTGTCTCATTGGCACTCATACCACATCTTTTTATATCTACTAAATTGAAAACAACGTTCAAACCTATGATTGCGTTGGATAAAAACCGCAATTTTTATACGTGTGCATGCAAAACAAATTTCTTGGTAAAGGGGTATAAATACAACACAAACAACATTTTCCAAAAGACCAAAACAGTGAAAAGGTATATTTTAACAAAACGGGTATATATATATATATCAAAAGTTCAGAAAAAGCTATCGTTAAAGATTTATTTTTCATTTTTCATGCCCATTTTATATAACCTTTTAACTGAATTTACAACTTCTTCCAAAGATTTGATATCCACATACTAATCAATACATAATTTGAATGATCCGAAGTCAGACTATTTTCACCAATTTGTCTATCATGGAGTCTGTTGTAATACTTCATAATTTGATGCTTAATTGTTGAAATCCAGGAGCTTCTGACCTTCCCTATATACCCTAGAATTTGGAATTTCTCGTTATTGGTCTACTGCTGTTAAGATCCATCCAATCATTTCAATATTCCATAAACAATTAATGGAGAGAATTCGGCATAAAAAATATCAAACCCTGACACTTTAACTATAAAATGTACATGCTCCAAGTCAGGAACCGTTACATTAGTGCATTTCACAATTATTTTCTGTTTTTTAGTCAAAAAAAGATTTTATTCTACGCCCCCTCTTTCAAATATCCTGGAAACGCCCCTGTTAAGTAGATATGTATATTAAAAGAAAATGTCCTGAATATCCGTTTGCCCAATTATCCAATGAAAAAAATATATTGGACAAGTTACGGAACTCAAGAGGTATGTTTTCATTTATATTTATTTTAAGGCATTGTAAAAATATCAGCCACTCGACACAATATTAAGCTTTTCCGCTTGTTCTCTACGCTTATTCGTCAAAAAGAATCAAAATGTGCCTCGCGGCAAATGCATTACAAAATAAATGTGCAGAAACCTGATAATCTATATATATAATACATAAACAAAAGTAAACGTCAACTTAATTTGGCTAAAAGTATCTAATGAATATAACAATCATCTGTAATGAGGGCTGGATATTTCTGATATAGGTGTTGCCACAAGTGGTGCAAAAACTGTATTCTCCTCCATGTCGACTCAATTGATACCAATTTTATTTACAGATATTCCTGTTGCTCATCTTAAATCTATGCAATGTATTCTGCACTGCTTATTGCCTTTTCAGGGCATTTAATTTGGCAATACTGTTTTTTTCTAACTAATGATATAGATTGCAAAGACTGGTCGGTTCGTAGTCAGCATAATGTGTCCGAGTAAGTTTACCGGTCTTCCTTTGAACTAGCATGTAACAAAATACTTCTCAGTGAGCCAATCTAGTCCGGTTCAAAGCAGCCTAGGGTTCCTTTTTGCACATGCACATCATATCGGCCTGATATGCATGTAATATTTGCCACTAAATATTAAACACTAACCCATCATCATCATTATTCTTACTTTTACATAGCATGTACATATAAGTACAATATTATATCAAATGTAAGATATGTATTAAACCATGTTACGAACAGGTGGCAAAGAAGTTCAAAAATAGGTACATGCATGCGTTTTGGTCTACACACGAGTATTCTGTGAAACCGCTACCGAATCACCTTTAACTTTTTTTATTCGACTGCCGCTGATGAGTCTTGTGTAGATGCAACGCGCGTCTGGGAATACAAAATGTTAATCCTGGTATCTATGATGAGTTTAACATCATCATTTTGTGGCAAGAAAACGAGGGATGTCCATAATATATTCATTATGATGATTTAAAACAGCATGCACCCTTTGTTTTATTGGAGAAACACCAAATACTTGTTGGATAGCAACTTCGGATATAGCTTACTAAATATATCCTTACCCTGGTCCTTGACGGATGTCACCACATTTTTCGGAACCCAGTCAAATGAGTCCGGCAGATGATAACCCTTTTCACCTTTAATATATCTGAATGAGGATTATAAATCTAAATCAGGATTATAAATGTTGAAATTGTTAATAACAATTTTATATTTCAAGCATTTTTCTGAAATGAGTTTACTTACCATTCTGTAAGATAAAATTAAGTTCAAACCAATTTTCTTCTCGTGAATATGAATTAACTGTGTCTGTGTTAATATTATTACAGCAAAATCGGGGCGATTAATGATGTTTTTTTCGTTTTACTTTATTATTAATAAAAAATGCCGAAAGTCTCCTGTTATATTCTAGCTGACCAGTTCGTGCACATAATATTCAACAGCAAAAAATATTTGTCAGGGTCTAATTATAAAACATTTACAGTTTAGTTGTCTCTGACATTGTAATAATATTTGCAATTTGCATATTTGAAATACAATTAACCGTGCTTAAATCAAGAAAATTGTTCGACTAATGATAATATGTGACTAAAACAATTTTATTCCACTGAAAATCGTTTTAAATGTTTGTAAAAAAAATTTCATTTAAGATATACATCCAAGACTTAATCCTTAAATAATACATAATTCCGGTGCTAGGGGCCGTCTTAAACTTGCAGTGAGGAAAGCGTTTCGCTCCGTGTTCACTGCTACTTTGAGACTCGGGGGGGGGGGGGGGGGGGGGGGGGGGGGGGGGGGGGGGGGACCACTTCAATACTTAATTGATAGGGATGCTGCTGGGGTTCTGTTACCCCATCCTTTTCATATCTTAGAGCTTTGAGATGAAGAAAAACAATAAAAGCGCTGCTCCATTTTGTCACGGTTTTTTGCTTTGAATGTACTGATGTGTCGTGGATGTATATCCCATATCCTTTCCTTTCTATTACACATTAACTTTTCTATAGACCATTATTAGCCAATTTGTTTATCTTTCCGTGTTTACCTGTCGTTTTCAAACGTTGGAGGTTCACGGTTGGACATCAGTATCTTACTCTGAAATTCGGATGGCGACATATCAGCAAACTTATTCAAGGCAAAATAAGTCTCTCCCCTACAAATGAATCAAATAACTTAATTTTAGTAATATCTAAAAAAATGTATGCCGATTCATATCCAAAATCAATATTTTATCAAGAAAATCTATATCATGTCTTTACAATGCAATTTTATTCTTTTTTTTATTACTAAAAATGAATTATCCTTGGATGAAAATATTTTTAAAAACATTTAAAAAAAAATTGTCTTCAACAGCAATATGTAGCGCTGAAAAACTTTTGATTTTATTGGAATTTGTGAAAACATTGAAGTAGATTATATAGACTCTTAAATAATCTAATTCAGTTAGGTTATTGCAACTCTTGATGTATACCTTGCACTATGTCCAAACTACCCAGGTAAAAAAATGTTTCAACTCGATTATTTTTAACTCCAAGTACGGTTGCAGACCTTTAAAAGACAACAAAGGTAGGATATCTGTTTACTTATTTGTTATTTGCGTGCAATTGTAGAATATATGAATGCACAGGTTAATATTATTTCCGATTGTGACTGAGCTATAACATTTTCTACAACCGTTCTACACTAATGGAGAAAATTCTAAAAATGCCTGAGTTGTTTTGACACACTGCCCTGTGAGTAAAACACATATAATTAGCTCTGCCTCTTGTTCAGATTTTTCAAGGCAAAAAAGAAACTAATTGTAAAAGTTATCAATACTTACCAATACATTTTGTTAAGTTTATTGATGTTCTTTAAGTTATCATAAAATACATCAAATCTATTTTGCTCTTCGTCGACACCATAATATTCTTTGCCGTTTTCTAGTTTCCAAGTCCTAAAATGATCAGTATCCTTCATCAGTAATTTATTATGAACCAAACAAGTGCAGAATACATTTGGTTATTAAAAGAAAATCGAGAAGTTGAGAAAAATGGAAAGACATACCCGACAATCTCTTATCTGATGCGGATTTAGGGGAGATGCGCAAGGCGGCTTATGGAACTACAAATATGCCTGATTTTAATGCATAGACGTTTTACAAATCCTATTCCTTACGTTGCCTTGGTGTCACAACCACCCGTTTTCAAAGTCCTGGATCTTGATCCACAATCGCTTATTTCAGCTGTGGTTTGAAAGGCAGAGTAAATGTTAATAACTGATTCTAACAGAGTAACTATATAAAGATGCTAAAGAAACCCAAATGAAAAAGTCATGGTTTCATCCGCATCATTTTGGGTACTGTTTTTATGTTTATAAAAATAAGGAGATGTGGTATGATTGCCAATGAGACAACTATCCACCAATGTTCAAATGAAGTGGATGTAAGCAATTATAAGCCGGCTTTCAACAATGAGAAAAACACATATCGTATAGTCGGCTATAAAAGGCCCTGTCATGACAAATATGAAAAAAGTACCTTTTCATACTGATTGAGAGTTATTTGAAAAACACACTTTTATATGTCACATAAAATTTTTAGATGTACAATGAATTTATTCCTTTCGGTTGTTGCAGGAGTTTACTTGTAAATGAACAGAAATTCACAACTATTTGTTTAGAAAACAAGCAGTCAAATTGGTATGTTAATTGAAATTATCATGCTGTATATTGGCGCAAATGAATTGTTTTATTTTGGTGTATTTTATACAATTCATTTGCGCAAACATATTATGAGCGCAACATTGTATTATGGCGCAAATGAACAATAAATTGACCCAAACGTAGAACGCTTATAAAGCCAGTCTGTGACTTTTTGTTTTTGACACTCTATCCTACAACCTTGTTGCTGTGTTTTACATTTAACATGTTAAAGTATTTTTTTTTTACCAAACCTTGTTTACAATGAATAATTAATATTGAACAGTGTAAGTTGTTTCTGTTTGTAGACCAAAATAACATTGTATGACATTTTACACTATCATGACTATACTTATCTAAAAATGAAAATTACACTTGTTTAATTTCGTGCGTCCGATGCCCTTTGTTTTATTTATCTTCATCTGGAACTCTCAAACCTAAACATCTGTGATCTGTTTCACAAAAACACTTACGATTTAATTCGATCGTAAGCATACTGAATTGTTCCGTGACTTAAAGTCGTAAGATTTTTTGTTAAACTGATAAAGCCAGGGATGTATAAATACGTCAAATCGTTAGGAGCTGTATGACCAAAATTAAGGGACATAAAAATAATAGCAACATCTATATTATTAAATGAGAAGACCTCATTTTGTGTGTCGCGTCTCTTCCTTCCACAATAAACTAATCATCATGCCTCTGTGTCCTATAGGTACCATGCATAGGACCCCTGGAACCGGTATATAATCATGTTTTATTTAAGAAATAATTCATGCAAGCCATAGATTTGTTGAAAATTTTCACATGGCCTGGTTAGTTATATTAGAATTTTATCCCGAGCATAAGCAAGGGATAAAATTAAAGAATGAAACGACCCAGGCCATGTGAAAATGAAAACAAATCTATGGAATGTATGAATTATTTTGATTCTAATGTGGTAAAGTTTCCCACTGAAAACTCTGACGCCATTTCAGTAAAACATGACGTTTTTGTGCACAAATCGCATTGTGACGTCGTCGATATAAAGTGGTTGTGGTTTATTGAGTATTTTATTATGGCTCTATTCATATGACGTAATAAGCACCACATATTAGAATTAATTTGCTTCTGAAAAGTCAACACCTTATTAAGTCTGAAGCCATTTCCAGATTTCAGTAAAATATGACGGTTTTGTGCACAAATCGCATTGTTTATTGAGAATTTTATTATGGCTCTATTCATAATTCCAATCTTATTTGCAAATATCACATAATAATCTGATTTCATTAGTGGAATCCGTTTCGAGTGACTGAAATTGAAGAGGTTTACATATCGATTATTCTGTCTTCTGCACAACGAAACAAAAAGCATGGTGACAAAGCAACTCGCCTCCTAAAAATTGTGCGTTCATGTTACTACAAATAGTTGACATATGCGTTGACATTCTTTAGATTTACATCCAATATTTTTTTGAACTGGTGAAAAATTCAAAATGTTACATTGACATCAGTTCATGTTTAAGATACTTTTGATACTTTTCCTGAAATTCTCCAGTCATAAAATGTTTTACAAAAATTCATCCTACAACAGTTTACATACTTTCAACCACGCTCTAAATTCCCGCGATTTCGCGGGTGTGTTCTAGTTCATTTTAAAGCCGAGACAACTTTTCCTGTCTTTCTAGATTCTTCAAAAATACTTCAATATAATAATTAATTGTCTGCTTTCAGTAAATCAATCTTGTTATGTAAACAACCATATTGATATGTATGCTCTTCTGTATTTTTAAAGTTATGGTGTATTTATTCTTGAGATAACTTCTCTTATATGTGTGCCACGTCATTCTCTCAATTTAAGGCAAGTTTGAGTACTAAATTTTTAATAAGATGCACACCACCTATTCTTGGTCCTCATTTCTATCCACGTTAAATTTTTCACTTCAAAACATTTTATGGAAGCGGGATCAATATACCTGTATTTATACATCAGACCGTACTGCACTGGTTACCGGAATTTTGGATAGACCAAACCAGGCACTTCATATCCGAGAAACAGGCAATATATGCCCTCAATTTTAGAATTCCTTCATACTTTTTTGTATTATTCAAAATTATCAGTAAATTATGTGTTCTACAAGGACCACTAGTCCTTCACCTTTCATCTAATACCTTAATTACTAAAATATTTGCTACATAGTTTTAGATTTACACCTTTGCGTAGGAACTATTTCGTTTTAAATATGTATGTTATTTTTTGACCGGGCCCGATAAGGTGGTGTTACATCTTACAAAGTCTATCCAAATTTATTTTGCAAATTATTCCGCTCAAGCCGGTGCTAGGGGCCGTCTTAAACTTGCAGTGGGGTGAGAGTTTTTTTGCTCCGTGTTGAAGGCCTCTCTGTGACTTTTAGATGAAAAACAGCAATAAAAGCGCTGTTCCTTTGCTTATTGTGTGTTTTTTTGATGTGCATGTACTGATTTTGTGTCATGGATGGATACCCCATATCCATTGTTTTTTCTATTATAGACACATTTAACTTAAATGTCTACCTTGCTGGCAATTATGTTTAATACCAACTTGACTTGAAAAGTCTGTCATTTACATAATTTAGTCCTCGATCATACGATATCTGCATGTATGATTAACATTACTCCTTATAATGGATAACTGTCTGACTGGCATGTGTCCCGCTTCATCCTTTATTGAGTAAATGAAAATAATAATTAAAAAAAAAAATTCTTTGAAGAAATTAATGTCTACTTTCTGAAATAAATATACCTATTCCTAAACCCCATCCCCAAAACCATAGGTTTGACGTTACCAATGAAGAAGCATATGGTATTGATCACTACTTGACAAATTTTTTTATACAATTGATACATTTCCGTCGAATTTCGTCGCCAGTGTCACTTTTATATTCAACTTACTGAAATAATTGTTTTGCTGAATCTGTATCTTCATGGTAAAGAAAGCTGGAAAATATTAAAAGGAAAAAAACAAATGATTAATGTCTCCTTTTTTTTCTATAATCAATTATTCAAAGAGAAGTTCAACATATTTATTGCTGTTAAAGAGGGAAAAACAATGCAAGACTAGTCATTTTAATATTCTGGATTTTTTCTGCAAATACATAAAGTCCATTTTCCATTTCATTTGTATTTATCTATTTCTAAACATACAAATTGAATGTACTTTCTGTTTTTTACATCATTTCGAATCTCACAACAACAAACGGCTACCATACATTTCAAGATATTTATTCAATTTAGATCAGTTCTAAATATATATAAGCTAAATGCAATTTGTTATAAAGTGCGACGTAATTTTGTTGCTATAAGTATTTGCTTTGTTATTCGGTTTTTTTTTTCTGAACCCAGAGATTACTATTGGAATCGGAGATGGGTACTCCACCATCGGTCGACACACTCAGTACTGTTGAAGAATACTTTAAAAGTCAACGTCTTTATCTGAAAAAAACATCTTGCTCTTATGAGTAATGAAATGCCACAAGAGGGTTTGGTCATGCCGGTATATCCAGATTTCTGAAGGACAACAGCTCGGGGAATTAGCTACATTTTTATTGATTGTTGCGTGATTAACATCAGTAGTAAACAGTTCACATATATTCACAGAAGTGAGAACAAGTTGACAATTCAATTTAATGTCCAGTCGCAAATAACACATTTTCACAGGATAAGAACAAATTGACAATTAAAACATGTGGGTTCTTCAGGTTAGGTCGACCGGGTCGTTTTTAAATATTAAAAGTAAGACTGAATGGTTTTAGTTTGAAATGCCTGTACAACACAAAATCGTTCATGCTTTTATATAATTCAAATGCAAGACTACGATGATTTTGCATCTAATTATAAGTTAAAAGGAACAGCCCAAAATGCGAACCATCCGGATCATACGAGTTAACCCTCGTATTTATTTAGTTAATTGCGTTTATGAGGGCGTTAAATTTTTTTTTTGTCTCTTTTTTCTTTTCGTCATTGTTTTAACTGCCCTTCTTCTGCTTCTTGATTGTCTCCGATGTATTTTCTTGAACAAAAAAAAAAAAAACCCAAGCATATGAACGTATTTATTACAGTCTTGTACCGGTATATAATTTTTCCTGAATACTGTATTTTAATTTCAAACTTTCATATTCGTTCACGTTTAAAGGGACATTAGCTACGAGATATAAAAAAAAAATACAACATGATTTGTTTTTTTGTTCAATTATTAATGAAAGTGAAATAGTGAAATAATAATTCGGTTTTAACAGCCAGTTTGGTTCAGTTTTGTCAAATTAAGCAAAGAAACATCGCTAATGAGTTATTGACTTGCAAGTGAATAATTCGACCTCATTGAATCCGTATTCATGTGAACTTTAGTTGATACCTATAGCTAAAGATGGGTTACGCATGAACGGGGCGTGTTCAGTTATTAAATGGAAAAGAATGTAAACATTGAAAGTGAAACAAGGGTAAACCATTTGGTTGACTGGTTCGATCTAGAAAAACTCATTCTTATACAGGTAAAAACGATTATTAACATATTTTTAAACCTATAATATGAAATCAAACAGACCTAGAAAAATCAAATTGCACGAGATCGCAATCTGTTTATATCTATATTGATGTTTATATCGGGTTATATGACCGTCGGCTTTCTTCGGAGGTCACCTCGATGGTTAATTAGATGGCGTACGTAAAGACTAAAATACACACGAAATGCTGATATATACTATCGAGTCTATGCATCGTAAATTGTTTATTTTAGACTTTTTTATAATTTGGATATTCGTTTTAATATGTTATATTAAGTCGAATATAAGGATTTGAGTCAAATCGGTGCACAGTAAATTTGACAGCTTATTCTCCTTTAAAGGTTTGATTATTATATATAGCGATGGTTTATGGATTTGATGATGTATTATGGTTTAATAGAGAGAGACATTCACCTACCTGCTGTTGTATAATGCAACGTGATATGTATGACAAATTATTTTAACAGGAGCAGCAAAGCGGTTGCCTTTATTTATATAGAAACTATTGACTCTATTGGAGATTGCAGATTAGGCCACGGTGTTGTCTGTTTTTCTGACACTTATGTTTTTGATCCTCCATAAAGTTTTATTCAATGCAACATATTAGTAAACGGAAACTGCCAGACATTTGATGCATGTTTAATCAGATTGGTTCACCGTTAGTGGCGTTTAAATCCATGTGCTTATGCAATATGTATTTGAAGAAAAATTTATCAACAGGGGGGTCTCTCAATTGCATTGCATTGACTCATTAATTAGCCACTGACTATTTCTACATGTTACTTTTGTAAACCGCTGGTCGAGGCTGTAGACTTTAACTTTTTACTGAATGCATTCATTTCATTTCGTTCAATTATAATAATATTAATAATGTAATTCATATGTTATATTTTTTTTATATCTTCATCAGATCACACTTTTTCAATATACGTTAAAACTACAATTTATACACGGAATACAAATCAACCATCCAAAACCAATCGTCAATTAAAATCAAATACCATCCTCATATAAAGCAGCTACCAGTTCTGCACAGTGTTATTCACGTGTGACTAAACCACGGTTTATGTATTAATCTGATAGTATTAGTTACATAGTGTGCTAGTGACCTAATACGGTATATATGGGGTCAGTAAATTCCATATGGGGTGAGAGCGAAGCTCGAATCCCCATATGGAATTTATTGACCCCATATATACCGTATTACGTCACTAGCACACTATGCAACGAATTTATCTTACCGACTATCTTAACGTGTGATATTTAGACCAGTAACCTATCAAAATGAGCAAGTCTTCAATACCGTTAGCATTACGAAACTACTTCCATTGATCATACAAAAACAGATGCCAACAATAACAACTTGGTAGCTTTAAAAGTGTTTTATGAATTTATTTCAATCTTAATCATCAATTTCTTCGTTTGTTGAAACATTTAAGATTTTTTCTCAGTACCGTTTTGTTTTTATAAAGGGACGTAACACCACTACTAACCGTGTATTGAAATAAGCCCCGCCTCCCTACTAACCTAATATGGAATATACACGGTCTCCACGCGGACGCTTTTAACCAATCATATTCCTAGAAATGTTTAGGAGGTAAGATAATAACTCATATATCCGTATATCCGTAAGTGTGAAAAAAGATAGCTACCAACACTAATAATATCAGCGTGGTTGGTTCCATATCAAAACTATGTTGATTTTGTGTTAAACCTGTACATCTGAAATCAACCATGTATGCCCACAGGCATTTGTCTCAGAAAAAAATTTCCTTTATACCTTAATATAACACAAAGTACTTAACTCGCATTTTTGAAAAATTTCACCCGGTCGCGATCTTCCGTTGTATTTCGATTTTACGGTATAATAATCAAATTTGATGAATAATTTAGACGAACGCGTGTCTGGCATAATAAAATATAAAACTGGTTCCTTTAATGAGTTTTTTTCGGAACAATCCGAAATATCTTTCACCTTTCTTCCATAAATCAAGTTTTCATATTATAAACCATAACCGATCATACATGGGGATCTTGATGGGGGTCCTTCAAATCTGCATTCTTTAATTTTATAGGTCATTTTTCTCCATTCTTTTTATTAAAGCACTCCATTTTTCCCTACGTACCCTATTCCTTATATTTTAGAACTCCATTATTCCCTATTCTTTATTTTTAGCCTTTTTTTTATATTCTTTACATTTTTTCCTATTATTCTGCACTTTTTGCCCAATATTCTCTATTCTGTAAACCCAATCAAGACCCTCAGTACATGTCACTGGCATCATGATAGCTACATGACTACATTCTTAATTTAAATAACCTAGTTCTTTAAAATGATGTTTTTCAAATATTATCTTGAAAACCCAAAACGGTTCCCATTTTTTAATTAAAAGTACACATACATTTTTTATACATTAATCAAATTGTTATGTAGATGTGATTTTTTACAGAGGTATAATTCGTGTTGCTCATGGCATGCCATATATCACAGTTTGTTTGTTGACAAAGTTCACAAATCAAAACAATATAGCTATTAGCCCACAATGAATAAATTTTTAAAATGTAACATGCACATGGAAAACAAGTGATAACTAAGAAATATTATTTGATAAATTTGATGAATAATTTACCTGACAGATATATTTACAAGCCATAGCAGAATGAATATCTCATGTGATCTCGCCATTTCAAAACAATGTCGATAAAAATAACTCTCATAAATATGGAGGCCTTTAGGTGATAGAACATGTAAGTCATCGAATGATTTAAAAGTCCATAAAACCTGACAACATTGAACCAACACTCGACTATATCAACCAACGAACGAACGGAAACAACTGTCATTTTCCTGATTTAGTACAGACATTTTCCGAAGAAAATGGTGGATTGAACCTGCTTTTATAGCTAGCTAAACCTCCCACGTGTGTAACAGTTGTTTTAAATACTTCTGAGACATTGACAGAATTGTGTAAACAACCCAAACAGACATAATTATTTAAAGTGACAATAAATTGGGTTCCGCGGTCATGAAACTAGTTTATAATAGTTCCGTCGTATTGACAAAACTTTGTGAGCAACCCAAACAGATCGAATTGGTTTACGTGATAATATTATAAAGGAATCCAGCAGCCAAATTTCACAAAGAGTTGTTAAAGACAACATATGCTAAGTAATTTTGTATAAAAGTCTTTGGAAACATGATATAAAAATAAGAAGAAGTGGTATGATTGCCGATGAGTCAAATATCCACCAGTGACCAAATGACAAAGTCAACAACTATAGGTCACCGTACGGCCTTCAATAATGAGCAAAACCCATACAACATAGTCAGCTATGAAAGGCCCTGAAATGACAAGTGTAAATCAATTCAAACAAGAAAACTAATGGCCAGATTTATGTACAAAACAATGAACGAAAGACAAATAAGATATAGTACGGCAGCAAACGACAACCACTGAGTTACAGGCTCCTGACTTTGGACAGGCACGTACAGAATGTGACGGGGTTAAACTAGTTTACTTGCTCCAAACTTCCCCTAACCTCGGACAGTGGTGTACCATTACAACATAAGAACAAACTATAGAAATCAGTTGAAAAGGGCTTAGCTCATCAGATCGATACAAAACAAAAATTGAGCATTGTTCTACAAAAAGATAAAGATTTAAACTGTTTTACAAACAATTTGTATTTTTATTTTTATAGACATTATATATCCCTTGTGTGTATGTGTGTGTGTTATAAAACATTAATTCTGCAAAATTAACAACAACCATTAAGTATTTGTAGTTCATAATCCGATGACTTTAACAACTCAAAAAGTATAATACAGGCTCGTGAAGAAAGACAACAATTCATCTTTTTTATTTTTCTACATGTATATCCATAGACGATGAAGGGATGAGGTTTAAAATTAAGGCAGACTGGAAACAGTGTAGTGTGCCTCTCAACCTTTAAAAAAATTGCTTATGTCTATCGAACATGTTTTTTTTTAATTTTTTTTTTTTTAATTTTGTATTTTTTAAAGATTTATTAGTAAAGAACAGTGCAGAAGTATAAAATAGATCCAATATTTATTGTTTGTAGTGTATATATCAAAACTGTCATAACATTGTATTATTTGTTGGGCTGACTAAGAACAGCGGTAGTGACCTGTGTGTTTATTCCACACATGCCGACATCTCTTTTTATCTGGAAATATCCATTTTCTCCCCATTTCGGTCCCCATGAGTTCTTTACTTTCCAGAATAATTTCTCCCCAAACAAAGTCTTTTCTTTTCCAAAGCCAACCAGTAAAACAGCTGAAAATAATAAAATATATAGACAGCAAACCATTCACTTCTAGTTGTAATTTGTTATACTAACTAGGTTTAATTTGAGAGTGGTGTTTTTTTTTCAGTTTTCTGTTTTTTATTTGAAATATATATTTAAAAATTAAAATAAATTACAGGTTTATCCAACTTTCTTTCTCCTTTCTTCATGTTTTGGTTATGTATTTCTAATTCGTTATGTATAGTTATCCATTTTCATGTAACGAAGCTTACTTTTGTATCAAAGAAAAGATCCTTGATGCCGCTATATATGAAAGTCTGGATGGTGTATACAGAAGAAAGAATAATAGAAAATGGGTTAAAAAATATAAAGAATATAGAAAAGTAGGCAAAAAAAAAAAAAAAAAAAAGAATAGAGAATAATGGTGTGCTAAAATATAACGAATAGAGAAAAATGGCTTAAAGTATATCTTAACAAAACGCATTTGACTAGCAGGTCGAACAACTGATGTTCTTAAACCCTGCTGACTGCCATTGGCGATATATATATATATATTGCGGTTTTTATCCAACGCAATCATAGGTTTGAACGTTGTTTTCAATTTAGACTTGTATATATAACGTTGTTTTCAATTTAGACTTGTTTATATATATATATATATATACAAGTCTAAATTGAAAACAACGTTCAAACCTATGATTGCGTTGGATAAAAATCGCAATTTTTATACGTGTGCATGAAAAACAAATTTCTTGTTAGAGGGGTCTAAATACAGCACAAACAACATTTTCCAAAAGACCAAAAAAGTGAAAAAGTATTTTTTAACAAAACGCATTTGACTAACAGGTCGAACAACAAATGTTCTTAAACCCTGCTGACTGCCATTGGCGATTGCCAAATAAACGGATCACCGATGTTATAAGTGGATCTTAATTATAAATTTAATACTAAACTGAAAACAATAAACTTGCGGATAAGATGACATACTGCAAACAAAAGGTGCAAAGGTTTTTGTACACCATATCTGGATTTCGACAATTAATGTCTCTTCAGTGATGTTAGGAATCGAAACGGTATTTGGAAAGCCATACAATTTACCTCAATTTAGGATAGACTCTTGAATTTTGAAGAGTCAAAATAGGATGAACAGATCATATAAACCCGAAGGCAAATATAATTCAAGCCCAAACGAAAAAATATAAACAATTCTAAATTGAAAACAACGTTCAAACCTATGAATATATATAAAAATTGAATTCTTAAGTGTTTAAACAGTTTAATATATTACCATGATCAAGATTCTTTGGATCACAATGGTGCGGTTCGAATACACCTTTGTGATATAATTGTAACAATTCAGCATTGATTGCAATAGACAGCGGTCCAATCTTCATTAGCTGTTCTGCTACCACTGTCTCATTCTAAAAAGTATACACACAAGTATGATATTTTTTATTTGTATTATTCAATTGATAAAGATTATAAAAACCTAATAGCATCTTAAAAATGTTATACAAACAGCCATGAACAGCAGATTGAATATAACTTGGAATAATGGTGGTACTGGTTTGGTTTCTATTGCCTATTCACAAGCTTCCATTGAGTAATTGATTGAATAATTGATTGATTGATTGATTGATTGATTGATTGATTGATTGATTGATTGATTGATTGATTGATTGATGTGTGACGACATTCAGCATTATTAGCTATACCAAGGCGGGCAATTTTTATTGGTGAAAGAAGCCATAATGCTCGGTGTGAACCACCCACCTTCGGCAGGAAAATTCACAGTCCTATTCAATTAAGATCGGAGTCGAAAGCACCTGCCACGGGCGGGGTTCTCAAGTTTCGGTCACAAGTTAACCCTTAAAAAAGGGACAATAACATTACAGAAAAAAATAATGATTGCAATCCATAACTTTGAAAGATGAGAAATATTGTATGTGGATGTTAATACCCATTTACTTTTCATTCCAGAATGATATATATAATTTAATTTACATAAAATAAATTGGGTTTACTATCATGAAAATATTCAAAGTTATCATTATCTGCAAAAGACGTAATTGAACAGAAGGTATATGATGTTTTAATTCATTAAATAACTTCTCTACACGCTCTTGTCAAAACATAAAGCTATAAAACATCTATGTTATTGCTGTTATTCGTATATGAGTGTATGAAAGGAGATTTACAGAATAGAGAATAATTGACGAAAAGTACAGAATAAAGGGCAAAAACTTGAAATAATAGATAAAAGTAGGCACATAAAGTTTCAGAAATAGAAAATAACAGGGTGCTAAAATAATTAGGAATAGAGAATAATGGGCAAAAATAAGAATAAAGAAAAATGGCCCAAAATATTAAAGAAAACAGACTTAAAGTTCTAAATAAGGTAGTAGTGCCTTTTTTGTGATACAAATATTTGAATGCGTAAGTATACAATTCTTATTATGTTGACAGTATAAATTTTTTAACCCTTATTATAACCTTGAATGGATAAGATGGTATAGCGTGTAAATTTACATGTCAATTTGATAATGTAATAACATCACACCTGATCAATAGCTTTCCAGGATGACAGCTGTAATCCATTCACAAACTTTGCCTTGTTAAGTTTCGCTACACAACTCTGCGACATATTACAGTACGGTACAGGAGGCCCACATAACGATGCGTTAAATCCCGGTGCAGGGCATGGCATACAATTATCTTCGGGATGGTGTTTGTCAGCTGTGTCACCGCTGCAGTATGGATAGTCGTTCCAGGTTGACAGACCACCCTTTGAAAATAAATTGTAGAATAAGGAGGAAAATAAATATGACAATTCAATGTAAATACATTCTGCACACCTCGGCAGAATTAACAATCTATCGGAAACTGACGAGGTTTGCCAATTGGATGTTAAGTCCTGTTAATAGAAGCCCAGTTTGACATACCAGACTTTAAAGATCAATTGTGTAAATAAGGAGAAAAATACACACAACAATTACAATGCAATGAAGCCATAAATTATTATCACGACGTACCCGAAACGCCACATTTTGTTAACTTTTCTGAAACCACCAAAGTTCTTCGATAGCTTAGAATAACCAGACGATTTTTTCTATTCTGTAAATTGTAAATCTTTGAAATGTTTGCTAAACAAAAGTTACAAGATACATGTATTAATGCAAGAAACTATAAAAATCAAATGTCGAAGAAAAAAGACAACACCTTAGTCAAAAGAAAAAGTAAAATAGGCGAGACTTAAGTCTACATAACACAACACACACAAAAAAAGAAAAAAATGCACATTCCTTGATACGGTCTTGTTTTGTTCGTACTTGTGGTTTACTATCTATTATACTTAGTATGGAATTAAGTGTTTTTTTCTGAACTGATTGGTGTTGTGTATAAAAAAAAATATGTGATAAATTATGATTGCCAATGA